TATCGTACGCCTTCCAATGCTTTAGTTGCTTGTGTGCATGTCTACCTCAGGAGAGCCTATTCCCTCCTGTCTGAAGCTTTAAGCTCTCGTGGTCTGTGCACTGTAGCACGGAACCTTCCGGGGAGTCCCATCCAGGACTCCGGCCTCCAGGTGCAGATTACTGGCCCATGAAGAAGCTGAGAATCAGCGCAAGCTGGCTCCTCCGAAGGAAACTGTCCAAAGAGCCACCACGGGTCCCGCTCCACGCACAAGCTCAACTCTCTGCAGCTGACCAGACGCATTTCAAAAAGAGTGACCCAAATCCGGCCTGGGTGTAAGAGAAAACAGTGCGACGTGAAAGAGGAAGGAGATATTGGCTTAGAGAAGTCACCTTCAAAGGCTACACCAGCTGAAAACCAAGAACCACAGTGGTAGAAGAGCAAATGCAGGTCTATGTTTAAAGGGCTCGAGAACACTGTGAAAAAGGAACTTGGGGCTGGGTCACGTGCACTCCATGGGTGAAGGCAACCTCTTGCTGGGGGTGCAAAGGAGACTGGCTGCTCTGTAAACCCAATTCGCAGTTCAGAGTGACTTCCAAATAAGAGCGAAAATGGCCAAGAAGAGCATCGGGGATGCTGAAAGACCAACAGGACCCCCAAACTATGCCGAGTTGGACAGACCCATGAACAGCCAAAGGGTGAGGGTGACGGGGCTTGGCAGGAAATACAGCACCTGGGAGGTTCCAGGCCCTGGCTCAATGGTCTCCACCAGGTCTGGAAAGCAGACATGATGGGGCCTCCTGGGGGTTCCATGGGTGCTGCCTGGAGCTCACATCTGAATTCCCGACCCACTTCCAGTCCAAGGGCTGATCTTTGAAACCAGAGGAAGCATTCGAAGGACGAATGAGAGGAATTAGGTTGAACAAACAATATGCTTCCACCAGAAGATAGTGTGGATGGAGACTCTGAAGAATTAATCTTGAGTGGCCACTGGATAGGTGAGAAACATCTCTATTAATTTTTTAAAATGGTGGGGGAGGCTTCCTTGAGGTCAGACTTCATTGAGATTCATTGCATTTGAACCTTAAAATGAAACTATCCTCTAGTTCAGTGGTTCTCAACGTCCTAATGCCGCGACACTTTAATACAGTTCTTCATGTTGTGGTGACCCCCCCAACCATAAAATTATTTTCATTGCTACTTCATCACTGTCAATTTGCTACTGTTATGAATCGGGTGACCCCTGTGAAAGGGCCATTCGACCCCCAAAGGGGGCTCGACCCACAGGTTGAGAACCGCTGAACTAGAAGAATGTTGTGTATTTCGTTGGTGCTAAACTGCCCCTGGATGCATTTTCTCCTCTGTGAAGTCCCTTGTGTGGGGACGTCCAATTATCCATGGATGGGCTCTGAGTCTCTAGCTTGACCCCTCTCTGT